GATTCAATGCAATTCCCATCAAAATACCCATGATATTCTTCACAGAACGAGAAAAAGCACTTCTATAATTCACCTGAAAATATAAAAGACCAGAATATCCAAAGCAATCCCAAGTAAAAAGAACGCTGGAGGCATCACAATGCTGGACTTCAAATTATACTACAGAGCTATAGTTAAAAAAACAAAAAGACAGCATGGTATTGGCACCAAAACTGGCATGAAGACATGAGTACCAATGGAATAGAGTAGAAGACACAGAGACAAACCCACATAAATGTAGTTATCTGATACTAGACAAAGGTGCCAAAAACATATGTTGGAGAAAAGATAGCCTTTTTTAACAAATGGGGCTGGGAAAAGTGTATATCTACATGTAGGGCAATGCAACTTGACCCCTACCTCTCACCCAGCACAACAGTGGTATATATACACAATGGAGTGTTACTCAGCCATAAAGAAGAACTTTATGACATTTGTCGTAAATGGATACATCTGGAGACTATCATGCTAAGTGAAATAAGCTGTCCCCCAAAGCCAAAGGTCAACTGTTTTCTCTGATATGTGGAAGGTAACACAATATGGGAGGGGGTAAGGGGAAGAACAGAAGTTCAGTAGTTAGACAATGGGGAATGGAGGGAAGTGGGGAATAAGGAAAGACAGTGGAATGAATCTGACATAATTTTCCTATGTGCATATATGAATACACCACAGTGAACCCCACCATCATGTACATCCACAAGAATGGGATCCTAACTAAAATAAAATATATCCCATGCTTGTAAAATTATATCAAAATGGATTTCTATTGTCATGTATAACTAAAGAGAACCAATAAATAAATCAGCATTCTACAATAACGCAGCCACCTCAATGTCTGTAACAGCACAATTCACAATATCCAAGCTATGAAACCATCCTAGGTGCCCTTCAACAGAAGAATGGATAAAGAAAATGTGGTTCAGTTACACAATGGAGAATTACTCAGCCATAAGAAGAATGGAATTATGGCATATGCAGTTATGGCATTGGCCTATAAACTGATGGAATCCCCCCAAATCAAAGGTGGAATGTTTTCTCTGATATGCAGAAGCTAACTCAAATTAAGGGGATGGGGGAAATTAAAAAAAATTAAGAAAAAACAAGAAAGAAAATAGAGGCATTAAGAGTAGATTAAGCTGATTGAGGAGGAGGAGGAAGGGACAGGAAAAAGGAAGAAGAGTGGAATGAATGAGGCTGCACTTTCCTATGTGCATGCATGCAAGGGACACAGTGGGGCCTGGCATTGGTGTGTCTACTGGACACTAATTAAAAAAAAAATGGGTTGAAGAGGGATCGGTAAAGTGGAGGGAGGAGAGCAGGGCAGGGGGTGATGTGAGGAAGGGCTGGGGCCAGAATTGGAGCATCTTGTGTTCTATGATTATGTCAGGATTTGTACTGGTGGCATACATAACTAAAAATAATTTTTAAAAAATAAAGAGAAAAAATAAGCACTCTCTTATCTTTCAACCATAGAAAACTAGAATAAGCAGAAAGATCAGTAGAGGGAAAGGAACAGGGGGCGAGGGAGAAGGGGAGGGAAAGGGGAAATACTGGGGAATGAATTAGAGCAAATTTATTTCATGCATTAATAATTATGTCAAAATGAATTCACAATATCCAAGCTATGAAACCATCCTAGGTGCCCTTCAACAGAAGAATGGATAAAGAAAATGTGGTTCAGTTACACAATGGAGAATGACCCGGTTCCCCGATTGTTGAGTGCTCCACTCATCTCAAGACTATAAAGTGTACATAGAGAATTTCTAAAAAATATTTTTAGTTGTAAATGGACACAATACCTTTATTTATTTTTATATTGTGCTGAGGATCGAACCCAGTGCCTCACAGTGCGAGGCAAGCGCTCTAACACTGAGCTACAACCTCAGCTGGAGAATTTGTTTTCTTTTAGAGTAGAGTGGTGTTTGTGAACTGAGATTTCCTTTGGAGGAATTGTAATGTGTACTAAGAAGCATATTTCATAAACTGGAGACAATATCTATGTCCACCAAAAGAAAGTGGTAAATGAATAATGATAAGTGGACACAATGGAATAGCATGGAGCATTGGAAAGTGCAAATTACTGCTGCACATACAACATGGATAACTCTCATGGACATGCTATTGAGTGAAAGAAGGCAGACACCAAATAGTACATCCTGTGTGTAATCTATTCATACAGAGTTCAAAAACACTTAAAACTTATTTTTAGGCTGGGACTGTGGCTCAGTGGTAGCACACTTGCCTGGCATATGTGAGGCACTGGGTTCGATTCTCAGCACCACATATAAATAAATAAAATAAAGTTCTACCAACAACTAAAAAAAATATTAAAGAAACAAATTTATTTTGCTAGAAATCAGAATAGTATTTACTTGGAGAATAAATGACTGAGAGAGAATACATAAGGGCATCTTCTGGGATTCTGAATTGTTCTATGTCTTGATCTAGGTGGTGTTAAACACACCCATACACACACATCTACACACACCCCTACATACATTCATATGTGTATTTCTGTCTGTATGTTTAGACATAAACATGGGAGAGAATAATTTTATGAAGAGAGGTTCATTTTTTTTCCCCTTAGCCATTTGGTAAACCAGTAAATTCTGGGGATTGTTCCTATATTTTTCTTATGTTTCAGCAGAAATACAGAAATGTAAAAGTTGAGATTATGGCCATTATTTTGCCTTACTCAATGATATTTTATATTTTCCCCCAAATCCATATTTCCATGGACTTTTAGTCATAAAATTTGCTTTTTTAAAGTTATGAAATATTTCAAAAAAGATGAAGGAAACTGAGGGCTGACTATTGCATTTGATAAAAAGATAGTAGAGACTTGTACTTTCTAAAATAAGTCACTTTCTAATTCACTTATTTTCTTACTTTTCTTAGTGATATTCGAATAATAATGTTCAGATATTTTTGCTCTATCCGATCCATCAGCTGTTTCACTATTTTTAATCTATACGAATCTGAAGTTTTCTTTTTATTAAATATCTGTGTTATTCTTTGCATTAATTTCCTGTGGCTGTTGTATCAAATTACCATACAATTGGTAGGTGAAAACAACATTAATTTGTATGCTCATACTTCTGGGAACCAGAAGTTCTAAGTCATATCATTGGAAAGCGAGATGTGGGTAGAGATGCACACTCTCTGCAAGCTCCATGGGAGAATTCACTGTTTGTCTCTTCCAGCACCTACTAGCTGCCAGCTTCCTTGGCTTGTGGCGGCATCACTGCAGTCTCTGTTTCTGTAGTTATACTGCTGCCTTTTTTGTGTCTCTGGGCCAAATCTCCTTTTGCTTTTCTAAGGATGCATCTGATTGCATTAAGGGGCCACCCAGGTAGTCCAAGATAATCTCCTTGTCTCAAGATCCTTCACTTAATCACATCAGAAAGATGCTTCCATGTTCACATTTACAGTTTCCAAGGACCCGGGCCTGACATCTTGTCTAGCCATTAATCAGCCTAGTATACCCTGTCACCAGACTGTTGCATAAAGCAGAGCCCTTACATGTTTTGTTTTCCTTCCTGTCCTCAGCGTTTAGAAGAGTTGTGAACAAGAATAACTGATATAGCAGGCATTCACTAAATATTTGTTGAACTAATCATTAATTATCACTCCCCTCCCCCAGCCTAGTGGTTCTTTGAACATCTTCCTATAGAACGAGAGATTTTTGTTTTACTTTACAGGACATACCTAATGTCATTGGCTGGACTTTATAGTGAGAAAAAAATTTTAAAGTGTTTTTAAAAATTATTAGCTCATATTAATTGTACAAAAATTGGGTTCCTTTGTGACACTTTTATACATGCAAATAATGTGCTTTAATGGTATCTATTATCTTTATTTCCCTCTCTTCTCTACCCCTTCTCTGAGAAACTGAGTATTACAATAATCATTTATTGTCAAGTTGTTTCTGAAAGAATAAACCGATTGAATGCGGATGTATTCTAATGAAGTTTGGATGACATTCTGCTAGGGAGGCTGTACAGGGCAGTTCTCCTTTTATTTGGACAAAGACTTCTATACTCTCAAGATATACTGTGAATGCCAAAGACTTTATGTTGTTGTGCGTTACACGTATCATTAATGCGTTGAAGTTAAAAATTGAGAAATGTTTAAGAACTGTTGCAAGCACTAGCTCCCTTAGCTACTAGAGTGAAGACGTCATACACCGTAGGTATCCTCTGGAAAACTGCATCTCTGTGAGAAATGAAGGTGGAATAAAGGCAAATTATCATGGAAAATTGTTTTCACTTCATCGGAATATGAGCAGGGCCACACTTTTGGGTGCCCTAGTTGAAAAGCATTCGCCAGGAGGTTGGCGCCCAGCACTGCTTGGTGAATTAATCTTCCGACTCTGGTTGTTCAGAGGCGAAAACCGAGGGTTTGAGAGGCCAAAACAAGTAGCAGACAGAACGAGAGCTCCACTGACTTCACTGCGGCTGCTGGGCTCATCGCCTGGAGGGCGGTGTTAGTCAGCGTCCCACCGCCCCGCTGCCGGCCAGCACTCTTGCTGCTCAGGACTTTCATCCTCAAGTCGGTTGCAGATCACGCTCCCTTTGGGCTCCTTAGGGTCACGCGCGTGGGTGCCCAGAGACAGGCCACGCCCCACCGCCTCTTCGACTCCCGGCTTCCCTGGCAACCAAGCATCAGCATCCTCCACCTCGTTGGGCTAAACCATTTGCTTCAGGGACCGTCTCAGGCAGGGACAGAAAGAGTGGAATTTAATAGGACGCTTGAAAGCTTATATGCTCATATTTTCTATATTTACCTTGAAAGACACATTTACTTTTCTCTTCCAGCAAACTTCCTCTGCCAGTGCAGCGCTGCGTCTCGTGAGTCCCACTAGAATACCCCTACGCCATCATAGTGGTCCAGCCTGCAGGGGAGGCTCGCGGAGGGCACGGTTGGTGCAGGGGCGGGGCGCGCGCCCTACGTCAGGCGCAGGGGCGGGGCTGCGCGCAGGGGGTGGGGAGGCGGGCAAGATGGCGCCCGGAGAGTGAGTCTCCCTGGATTCCTCCAGCGGCTGTGGAGACTCCGGGGCGGGGGGTCGGCCCTTCATCACCTCCCTTCCTCCTCTCCCCCGCCCCCGGAGGCCTCCTACTTCCCTTCCTCCCTCCACTTCGGGGGGCGGGCCAGGTTCGCAGGACACGATGTCGGACTCTGAGGAGGAGAGCCAGGACCGGCAACTGAAAATCGTCGTGCTGGGGGACGGCACCTCCGGGAAGGTCAGTCCTCGTGCGGGCGAGCCATCACAGGCCTGCAGGAACCCCGGCGCGGCCCCTGCGCCCCAGCCTCCGCCCCTCCGTTGTCGCCTCTCGCCCCGAGCCCTGCGCCCCTAGGCCCGGCCTCCTGGCGGTGCCCGCGGCCGAACACGGAGCTGGCGCTCGGAGGCGGAGAGCTGTCCAGCGCCCCCTTAAAAACAGAAAAGTGGGTCCCTAGCTCCCCGCGGGATCGCGAACTCCTTCAAGACTCGGGTCCGCGTCCTTCGCTGGGAAGCTTTCAGCTCCTCGCCTCCAGGCTGGCGAGCATCTGCCGGGGACTTCCGCACCTCCGCCTGCAATGCAGGTCGCACCTGGCGCCCGCGGCCCTTCCAGGTCCCGATGCCTGCGCTGCCCACTGAGCCCCCAGAACTCCGCTCAGGACCCAGGTGCCCTGCGAGAGGATCAGGCTCGTCATTTCCCGGCGGGTCACTGGAGGGCACGTTGCGAACCTATTTGGGTTTCGTCCATAAGATGGTATCTATAGGGGTCGCCGCCAGGGGTGAAATGTGAAAATACACATTAAATGCGAAAATACACACGAAGCTCTTAGAACAACACGGTGTGCACTCAATAAACGTTAGTAACTAAACTAGTATCATACCTGTGCTTCATATCTGTTCCCAGCACAGCACCTGTCAGTACAAGTATTCGTGGGACAAAGGTTTTTTTGAGCTCCTGCTTAGGGTAGAACTTCCAGCATGACAGTGGCCCCTGCCCTAAAATCCAGCCTTCGATGACCAATGATCTTTGGTTGAAAGAATGAATGAGGTGATTCTGCAATCTGTATATGGGGTAAAAATGGGAGCTCATAACCCACTTGAATCAAATTGTGAAATATGATATATCAAGAACTATGTAATGTTTTGAACAGCCAACAATTAAAAAAAAAAAAAAAAAAAAGAATGAATGAGTGCATGCCTGAGACTAGCCCCAGGCAGCCAGTGCCCCTGAGCTGGGCTTCTTGACCCCAGGTTGTGGGACTCCTGCAGTGCTATAAACTGCCAGGTATTTGCTCGGGGGAGAGGGAGGGTTGCAGGGATCCCACCTTCCAAATAAATGGAAGAGCCTCTGCCCCGGGTACTTTCACACCTGTTGCTTCTGTGCAGGGCGCCAACACACTTTCTGGGAATATTGCTAAAGTTTGCCTCTCTTCTACCCGCCCCCTTTCCCCAGCCAGCCTTCAGAAACGCTGGCCTTTCCCCTTTTTCGGTTTCACGTTACCACGTTGCTGGTGTAGTTTGGACCCTGGTTAATGCGGTGACGGCTTCTCTTCGAATCCTCCTTGGCAGTTTGCTCTGCACGACTGCTGCTGCAGAAGTTCGAGGTTTAGAGACCTTGGGAAAGATGTCATTCGTATTCAAAATTAGAGTAATCCTATCATTTCTTTATCTTTCCAGGCTGCATTACTGAGTTTTATTCTGAGGCAAATACTTCGATGTGTTGTAATTACCTTTAAATATTTTGGGAAAGAAAAGAACTTGGGGTCGCTTTATTAGCATACGAATGTTTTGGACACTTAAAAAGGATTTTGAATAAGTGAATTGTTATAAATTTACAAGTCAGCCTTGTTTCTAACACTTATTCAATAAAAATTTTAAGTTAGGTTTTTATGATTTTATCATTTAGATTTTATTTTGAAAGCCACATAATTTTTTGCTTTCTAAATTTTATTGAATTCAGTTAGTAACTAAGCTTATTTTCCATTTAAAATTATGACGATAATATTAATGCATTTGTGAAATGATCCTCAAATCACCTATTATCCCATATGTTATCATATTTCTTTAAACTTTTGTTCATTTTTTTCTTCTGGCTTTTATCTAACTGTACATCTATTACTCAGTTGAAGAGTAATTATTCATAATTTCAAATCCATGTTTTCCAAAATTTAGGCTTTTCTACATATTTTTACTTAGTTGCTAATTTAGTGTGAATAATTATAGTTTTTCATCTCTGTCTCTTGTAGAACAGAACAGTTTTTCACTTGTGTATTGTTGAATCAGGACTTATCATTCTGCTTCAAAGAATAATGGTGATATTTTTTATGGTGCTCTAACTTACTCTTCATCCTCTTGACTAAACAATGCATTTAAAAAGGAACAGTTTTCTTTTCCTGTCAGAAATTTTCAGAAATGGGCATTTGAAACCTAAGGTTCTTTTTTTATTCTTATGTGAAAAATTTCTTTCTCCTTACCCTACTCAGCCTCCAGTTATTGGCAGCTGTCAACATTCCATTCTCCTTTTACTGTCCTTTTCTTTTATGAACTCACTTCTTATTTGTATCCTGATTTAACTCTTCGCCATTTTTCTAGCATTAGTTTTTTCCTGCTCCTTAAACTCTGTGCATTTTTGATACACACAGACAGAAGCAATAAAGAACAGTACTGACATGACCTCTAACAGTTTCTTCAAGAGAAATTTAGTTACTCCTTCCAGTGGCACATGTTTCTGTATATTTTCAATTCTGATTTATTAAACATTTCTTATTTTTGAGGCAAAATAGTCTTTTTTGCTGTTTTATGGTGTTAATCAATGTAGTTTGATTTAAAGATGTTAATATTAGTTTTCCAAACAAGAAATACAAAGAATCAGATAAAAATGTTGAGATATGGTAGCTGGTGGTAGTTCACTTTATGATTTTTAGGAATGGTATCTGTAGTAATTTGTGAGAAATTATTGAGTGTGAAAGGTGGGATGATGTCTAGACAATTGAAGAAGAATCCTCTCTCCTATAGATTCAGTTGATTCTCTGAATAATTTTTAGAGCTGATGTCAGGAATAAGAACCTATTTGTGTTTCCTATGACCTGTACTATTGACAGTTTATACTTTAGTCCAATCGAAATTCCTCTGATTTTAAGACTGTTTTTGCCTCAAATATTTGAGGCAGTTTTGATATTGTTATATGCTTCAAGGATATAACAAATGTAGTGAAGTAATTAAAAATATTTAAAAATCTTGGAAGTTCTATTTCCAAGAAAAGAAGTTTTTACTCAGAATTTTTCTGAATATTAACATAAAAATATTAAATATTGAGAATCTTAAATGAAAGTGAAAAATTACTTCAAATGACAATATGCTGTTCCATGTGCCTCAAATTTCTCCTTACTTTTACATTTCCAACCACCCATATATTAAACATTTGAAGCACTTGTAGTTGTGGAAGTGATCATACTTATTTTTCTTCAGAACTTTGAATCTCTTTACAGGTGATTTTTTTTTTTGCTACAAGGGAGGCACAATTAGGCTAAAAGATAGCCAAAAAGACTTAAAAAAGAATACTCACCTCTTTTATTCTTGTCTTTCAGTTTTGATATCGTTATATGCTTCAAGGATATAACAAATGTAGTGAGTTTATTTCTAAATGTCTAGTAGAACATCTTTCTTATGGTAGTGCTCAATAATTACTTGATCAAATATCTTAGCAATTTATTACAAATTCTGAGTAAATATTTTAAAAAGTTGGGGCTAGGGTGTACAAATTGCCATTTGTGAAAAGTATGGTTTTGTGTAAAAGGAAGTTTACGTCTTATTAAAAGAAATTAAAAATTGGCCAAGTTTTCTTTTACACTGCTGTTCTTACATCATAATTAACTATAATAAGCTATCTTGGAAAATTTATCTTAGTTTTCGTTATTTTAAGAATTGACATCTAATTTTAACTTTTAAAAAAGGGTTATTTTACCCTAACTTTGGCACTCTGTCTTGAGAAATATAAAATCTTAGTGAAGCTGCCTTTTTTGTCCTTTTGGGGAGATTTTCAAATAATAATAGTGCATTTAAAATGTTTAAGAAATCTGAGTTATTGAGTTATTTGAGTTGTTACCAGAATTATTCATTTGCTTTGATTAAAAAAATACATTAAAAAAAGCTTTAGGATTTTTGAATGAAACCTTTTTATTAAAAAAGTAGGTGATTATCTGTTCTGGTTATAATCTTATGACTTTTAAGCATTATGAACCTTGAGTAGGATTTATATTTCCTGTTATATATTAATCTTAATAATGCTAGCTTCTTTATGTAAAAGATACATATTATCAGGGTCATTCTACTTAATTATTTTCATTTAATATCTTTAACAGAGGAAAATTAGATTGTTAAGATGAATTTCTTGCAAAAAAAAAAAAAAGAAATTTTATAAGCTACTTTCCCCTTCTTCTTATTTAGCTGAGAACAGTTACCCTCAAAATATTTAACCTTATAAGTGAAACTCAGAGTTCTCTGAAAACATTTTTTTGAACTGATAGGTCAGATTCAGATTATTGGTCATGTTCCTTTAGTTTTCTTTGTTAATAATTCTCTAATTCTAATTTCCCTTGCTTGACAGCCAGGGGATTTGAAGAGATCTAACTGATTAGTCTTTTGTCTCCACTGCTGGCTGCTAGCAAGTAAAGTTTACCTGGGGGTATTAGGTCTCTCCTTCCCCTTGTAACTGATTAGAGCTGCTTTAAGTTGTCTGGTGGATCAATTGGAGTATAAATGTTAAGAAAATACTTGATAAGATTTAGTAGTAGTCTTATGTTTCCATTAATTAATTTTGGTATTTTGTGCATCAATTTTTTTTTTTAGACCTCCTTAGCTACGTGTTTTGCTCAAGAAACTTTTGGAAAACAGTACAAGCAAACTATAGGACTGGATTTCTTTTTGAGAAGGATAACATTGCCAGGTAAGAGACAAAAAAGTCTTAACATAGAAAATTGTACAAATATTGCAATAACAAACATAAGACCAAATTGTGTAAAATGAATTTTTGTGCTGCTTCTGCAAGAAAATATATGCAATCAGTAAATCTATTGTAGGAAGTTTAACTTTAATCAGCATCTGCATGAAGGCATATTGTCCATGTGAGCCATAAAAAGATTATATGTTCCCACACCCCCTCACTATTTCTGGCCACTATACATTTTTTTGAGGATAAATCATATTTGCTTATAAAATTCTAAAAGGTGTTAAAAAATTAAATGCTATACATTTGTTAACAGATATTGTATTAACTAAATGTGAAAAGATTGGGAAGGATTATTTTTTAAAATATTATTTTGATTAGCTTCTACTTCAGTTTTTTGTTTGAAAGTTGGAACAGAAGTATAATGTAGCTATGGAACTTCTGTGCTCTAATATGTGAATGCTGTTTTATGCAAGGCAGCATGAAATTGCTGGCATTTAATAGACCACTAAAATTTAGGGTCCCTAGGCACTCATAAAAATACAGTTTGAGCATTCAAGATATTTCAGTTCACCATGCAAAGAAACTATTTAGATGCCAGTTGCAGCACATTTTGTGGGAAATACAGGGAAATAATAACACAAAAAGAGTGGTTTATGTTTTAAGTTAGTTTCTGAACAATTGGGGCTTTAAAATGCTCTGTCCATTCAATTTCAATGGTCAAATTCTATGTTTAAAGTATTTTATTAAAAGCAGTTTATCTTGATTGACTTTATAAACCATCACCCTCTTCTCTGTAAGGAAACACATTTGAATAAAATGGTATGATGTTAAATGCATATACTAGAATGCAAGTGATACAGGGTAATGGGATTTAATAAATTCCAGTATTATTAAAATCTGTTAACCTCTCAAACACCCCACCTATCAGACTATTCCCCATAAAAGTTGTAGAGCAGTTAAGGAAAACTCTTGATAATTGAGGTATTCTTCTTATCTCATTAGTAATATACTCTATTTTGCGATTGTTTTTATTTAGTTCTTAGTGAAGAATAGGAGAGACAATGTGAGGAAAAAAGAATTCTAACTTTTCCATTAATAAGTTATTGTTTAGTAAGAGGTTTAATGAGAAACATACATTCTTTATTTCATCTGTATTTTTCTTTAATGTATTAAAAACTGAAAATATTTTTATTTGTATCATTCTTATTCATATAGATAGATTAAAGCTCCATTCAAGACACTTAGGGAAGTCACAAATCATATAATGTACATATCAAAAATTGAGTTTTGCCAGTTTTTCTCAGGGATGCCAGTTGTTCATAGAGAACCTCAATAGTTATCAGCTATTTTGTTTTGATTAGTAAAAGCACCAACTTTTTGTCTTTTTAATTTTAATTTTTCTCATTTATTTAGTTGAAAGCTTAAATAAAGGAGGAAGCATCTACTTAAATATTATAAAGACTGATTTGGACTATTTATGTGACACTTGTGATGATTTCTGACCATTGCATAGTGCTACCAATTTAAAAATTCTGCTTACTTTGTAAAAAGTTCTAGTATTCTTAAGATTCAAATTTAAAGTGTAATAATTTAGGCTTACAAAGTATTTAGGTTAAAAAATGATGTTAGGAAACATATATTCTTTTAAGAAATTTTTTTTTTGTGGTACAGTATATTCAACCTATGGCTTTTACGTGTTAGGTGAGTGCTGAGCTAACATATGGAAACATATGCTCTTGGAAACATTTGCTCTTAATGAATTTATATCTTAATTTTCTTGATGAAATTTTTATTTTGATATACAGTGTTCCAGAAAAAATTTCTACATTTTAAAAGGATGGGATTTTATTTTTTTTGCCATTTAATGGACTCAAAATTGTTTTAGTGTGTCTTGATCTTATGTAACTAATAGGTGTATTTAAGAAATACAAATAAATCACAAGGTTCGTAGTTCATCCTTTATATGCTTTCACCCTAATTTCAGTTCATTGTAAGTGTTCAATGTAGAATTATTATTTGTATCATTTGCTAAGTTAAGCATTGTTGAATTTATGGTAAAGCGGCATCGTATGTGAATCTAATTCTTGTTACTATTTCAGTAAAGTTTTCTGAACAGTCAGATTGTTAGGGATGTAAACCTCATGTCCATCTATTCACATTCTCTTCATGCAGGTTTTCAAGGTCATTACTTTGCAAATACTCATCCATTTTAGTATAGTTCATGATCCGGTATGCTGTATAGTCTGGATGCAACCACTGTGCAGATTTTACTGCTTAAAATAGTGTATCTGTTAGTCAGAGATTCTGCTGATAGAGCTTCTTAAGAGCCTTAGTCAAAATACTTTCAGGAAGCTTGTGGGTACAGTCCAGTAAACAGCGTTCTACTGTGAAAAGGATTTCTAAGTCTTAGTACAAGAAGTGGGCAGTCTTGTGTTTTTAGTTTCATCTTGACTATGCAGCACTTTAAGTAAGGTTAACCAAGGCACCAAGTGTACTTTTACAAGGTCACTGTTGAGTCCTCTTGGTGGCTTTGATTCATACCAAAAACAACTTACTTGTATTTTGTTACCCCATCTATTTTGTTTTTTTCCTAGTTACATGTCATTTCTTACAGAGGAGCAGGGACTTTATCGCATTTTGCATTTGAGATTACATTGTTGACAATATCTGTGATATTCTTATTTGTTACACATTTGTATTAGATGCAGACTTGATTGAAAAAAATTATAGTATTACTTGAATATGCTTATGCAACTTTATAGGTATGTCATCTTGAAAACATAATAGGAGGCTTCATATGTTTATACTTTCAAATCTGAAGTTAAAATTGATTTGAATCACATCTTTACATGACTTTTTTCCTCAAATTGAGAATCCCCGTTTTTAGTTTTATGTATTAATAAGCCTAAAATTCTAATGCAGAAGTTAAAAATATGTATTTCTAGGTATATGAAACATCTGCGAAGTTAATACCTCTTGTCAAAGATATAATGATAGTAAATTGCTTTTCACTAATATTTTAGCAAAATATGCATTGCTGATAATTTTGGTAGATTATCAATAATGCATAATTATTTTTACTACTGAGTCACTAGAATCTATATTTTAAAAAAAGAAAAGCAACAAGCAAACAACAGTGTTTGAAAAGGTATAGATTTTAAAAAGTATCTTCAACATATGAATATAAATCTCTTAGATTGGAGATAGGTAGATGATTTAGGGTTTTAAAGATGATTATAGTCAGTATTTGGAAGCAGGTAATGAAGAGCGTGTTCCTAAAGTTGAAGTATTCACAATATCTAGTTCAGATAGGATCTAGTATTAGAATATAAAGAAAAAAAAAGGCAAAAAGCTTTATATTATCTTGATGAGAGGTTAAGTAATAGGGATTATTGACCTTGAAGAAATTGGATTAAATACCCTTTAGCAATTAATAAGCATTGCCTATAGTTTTACTCTATAATTTACTCACTATAAGAGTTAAACATTGTCTTTTGATATAAACAAATGCCTGTAAAGAGTTTTTCAAATAAAATGAATGGATTACTGTCTGTTTATCTAGGGACTTCTGAAACATATACCTTTACTGAGGTTAGCTTTCTCATCTACTAAATTTGAGACAGTGTTCTGTAACACTATTATTTTGGTTTGACTCTCCAAAAATTTAGATTTTTTAAGAAATTGGGTTTATGTAGGTTGTTGGACAAGTCTTAGTCTGTGACATTTTGATTTTTGCATTCATAGGGCTTTAATACCGTTTCACTCATTACTCTGTGAGCGTTGAAAGTGTTTCTTTGAGAATGATGGTGGGTGATAAACTTCAGTAGCTCTCATTAATGCTAATGGAAGTTCTTCCTGGAAATCCTCTGTGCGGTGGCAGATGGAGCAGGCCTACATCCAAACAATGGAAAGATTGTAATACAAACCCACCAAAATTTAGAAGTAAGGGTAAAATTTTGCTGGTTAATCCAATGTCTTACTTTCTTTTCAGTTAAATGATATGACTAGCATTCTCTTTTTTTTAGTGTTTGACATTGACCTAAAAATTCTTGTCTTTATAATTCTTTTTGTTTTGGAAGTGAGGTCATTTTCTCAGTTTTTATGTGGATTTTCCTGATTTGCAAGTCATTTAGAAGATGCTGGTTGAGACTTTGAAGAGAACAACATAGTGCGATGAGCCAGAATAGTTTGAAGGGTTAAGCTAAATGCATATTGGACATGGTCATTCACTTTTATAGCTCAATGATTAGTTGCATTGATGAGAGGAAATAACTTATTGCACACATTTTGCTTCACCCAAATATTTTACAAACTGCACAAATGAATTTTAAAGATTACTTTTTAATTAGTGTTTTAGGATGCTTTTATAGTGCTTGCATGGGGGAAGAGAATTAATCACAGTATATTATCAAGACTTTGAAGCACATATAATCTGTTTCAGTGGACATACTTTGAATATGTATGAATGTATCTTGTTTAGAAATATACTGGGTCTGGGTATCTTATATCATTTCTGACCAGGGTCATCAAATGTGTTCATATTTTACAGGTTAAATTTGAAAACATAATTTTTGATTGTTTATCATTAGTATATAGCAGACATTCAAATAAAAATATTTCTTTGAGTTGAAATTAAGATGCATTTTTATAGTCTTTTTTTTGGTGAGTTTTAGAACCGACAGCAAAATTCATGTGGGTTAACATATCAAGCTTTAATTTTTATTTTTAAAGTATGTTTCTTACTCCATGCACATGTGCTTTATTGTTCTATTCTTTGAGAATATTTACATTTTTTTAAGGTTCAGAATATTTCTTGTGTTTTTTTTTAGGGCTTAAGTTCATAAATTAAAGCGTACTTAATTTTGTTTTGAAGAAGAATAAATGTGGTTCCATGGAAATGAATAAAGGCATAAACCTAGATTCTCCACTATGACTTCTTTGACAACACTATTTTCATAGTTCCAAATATTTTTTTTCAGAATAAAAGGCACATTAGGTTCAGAGTTTAACATTGTGACTCGGTGTTCTGTGAAACTCCGCTCAGTTGCTTCATATTACTTAACTTTTTATGTACTTTTTTTATATTCTAGGAAACTTGAATGTTACTCTTCAACTTTGGGATATAGGAGGGCAGACAATAGGAGGAAAGATGTTGGATAAATATATCTATGGAGCACAGGTATGACATAAATTCTATGGTTATTCTACTACTGACAATACTCTTCTTATAAAAATGTACACACACATGCTCTTTCTAACTTAATCTTTCCTTGATATGAGAGAGACTCATTTTGCATTTGTGCCAGTCCTTTGGTTTCATTCTCCCCAAATTATGTTTGGAATGATTTGGGTGAGGGAATTGGTAGGAATTAGAAAACTCTTAACGTCTTACATGCCATCTATATTTCTAGAGGTTATTGTTAGCAGTTGAAAAATGCAGTGTCAAATTAAATTTCTTAGATGATTTGTTTATAATAAAATAGGTATTATTAGATGATGTGTTTATAATAAAAAATAGAAAAGGAGAAAACTTAAATTGCAAGGACAAAAATTTGATTCTTAAAACCTTCTTCTTTGTTTTTCTACATTGTTCCTTATTTTCTGCAAAATCTTTCTACTTATGTTTAACATTTACATTTGTGATTATATGACCTGCTATTTTATGCACTATTATTTTTAAAACCTGTATATAAGACTTGTGTGTCTGGCTTTTTTGCCATTTTAAACAAATTAGAACTAAAGTGGACATGAAGCTAAAGAAAACTGGCTGGACAGAGATATGTAGAAAGTTGCAGTCCTTGATTTACTCCTGTGCTTGATAAAATGCAATTTGAAAATTGTACTCTTTTTCCTCTTTGCCCCATAAAATCTAGCTTCTGGCCACATAAAGGATTTTTTTTTTTTTTTAAATAAAAGTAAGACCGATCTAATTTATAATGATATTTTATTCTTGGTGTCAAATAGGATAATTTTTATAGTATATCTAGAGTTAGTGAAGAACAGGAGTATTTTATGCATTTCAAGAGTAAATAATATAAACTTCAAATAGTCCTTTTTTCTTAAAAATTAGGGAAATATAATGTTCATGAATTGGGTTTTATCAATTCTATTTTACTTAAAATCATTTAAAATTTATTTATTTTATTTTTAAAAGTCATTTAAAATATATTACTATTATATAAAAATTAGAATCGATGTGAAAATAGTGTAACATAAAATTAACCATTCTAAGGTATATAATCAGAGGTATTTAGTACTTTCACAATATTGCCTAACCATCCCCTTAACATATTGTTTTATGTATTAAATAGTTGATTACAATCAGCAGGCTTTAATAGGAAAATTTGTGGAAATTTTGAGAATTTCCATCTTTTTGGGGAGTCCTTAGGTTTAGTAAAATGTCTCTATTCTCTTTTTTCATGTGCTTCATTTCTTGGGAGAAAGTAAATGTTATTTTTCTCTTAGAACTTGTATAGGCCTCTGTCTTGAAGGTCCATGTTGATGCTTTTCCTTTTGCTGATGCCTTATGTTGTTCACACCTTGCAGTTTTTGTGACTGTTATCAGCCCATACCCTGCTTTATTAAACAATCATGTAGTATAGTGTTCTTGAGAAAATTATGACCATTTTCATGAAATTGACCAGGAAACTGAGAATTCCAGATGATGAAATGAGTTGTCATAAACTAATGATAATGTAATAACTTTTTTCTATTTTCCAGAAATTAAAAGTAAATGCTATGTAAAATATACAAAGCCTATTTATTAGTAGTTTATTTTGTTAAAATAGATATAAATATACATCTAGGACAGAAAAGCTGATTCATTATTTATAACCATAAAACAATACTTTTGTAAACATTCTAATATACTTAATGACTTTATATTATATAATCATATACTTTATTCTTCAAAGTAGATCTGTATTGCTTTTAGAGTTGTAGATTCTTTTTATTGCCCATTTCATGAATACTTTGGATTGTGTATACATGCTACAATACAAAAATATTTCACAAATAATGTTTGATTAGCTATTTTGAGGACATGAGTTTAATATGTTATTTAGGATTTTGTTTTAGGTTCTCTAACTTTGTGTTGTGATTAGAAAGAATTATCTTATCCATGTCTGGCCTATTAAACTAGCAAGTCTATTTTAAAAAGCATTTATTAATATCCAGGAAGAAGCTTATTTTAGGGTGGAAGTTAACTTAGGCCTAAATAAAACTGATTATTTTACCCTCTTCACTTTTCCCCCAGTAACATTAAACTTTAGCCATAGTCTATTGAATAGTGTTCGTTGAAACCAAATTGAATTGACACCCAAAAAGAATTAGTAAGATATTTTAACAAGAACTAGTTCTAAGAATTGAAATATGTCCCAGTAAAATTTCCAGATTTTAAATTAATTAAAAAATTTCTAGGAGTCTTCAGAAAGATGTTATAGGCTATTTTTCCTAGTGGTTAGGAGCAAACACACAGTACATAGTGTTTAGTGCCCTGTAACCTGTGGCTAACAGAGGCTAATAACAAACCTCAGAGAAGGACTGGATGTTTCATTTTTGTAGCTCTTTCTGTCTTGGAATCTAAGTGGTTTGCAAACACTGCCCCACTGAGCATAAACTCAATGAAGTATAGTTATTTGTGAGGTAGAACACAACTGCTATTGTGTGCTAGTGCCCCACACAGATGAGTCAACTTGTTAACTAGTAACAAAATAGTTTGGTGCCTGTATAACAACTGGGGAGAAAGCATACCTCAAAACTGGACTCCCTGAAACCCTCTGCTGTCTTTTACCATGAACTTTATTTGGATATTGCCAATTTATAACTGATTGTATTTAGAGACCTCTCTTGGGTTGGTATTTCTTAGAGGTTGTATCTGTACAGCCAGGTATTATATTGTTATGACTGTTGTATAATCTGTGTGACTTAATTAATTTCTCTAACTAAAAACTAAAGTAGATCATTTTTCTTGCAAGTAAGGGAGGGGAAAAAACCTTTGCATTTTGGAATAAGGAAATGTTTCAGTTCAGAGGTTAAATAGTTTTTGGCACCTGTGGATTGTGGAACTAAACCTATGTAATATTTCACTGTTAAGCCTATTAAGTGTTGATACCAATATGTGTTACTTCAAAACAATTATCAGTTCCTACTTTGGAAATGGTATTCATTTGACTGATTTGACTGGCTGACTGATCATGCTTATTAGATATGATAAGTGAAATAGATGAAAACAAAGTACTATATAAAGTAACCTTATATACTATTTATATAAGAGTCATGAAGTGTACAAAGAAGGGTTAGTAGTATCCTCTGGAATTTGGAAGATAGCAGAAAAGTGCAGTTAAGAAAAAAAATGGAGGGAAATTTTTGTTGAAGAATTTGAAGATAAAGAAGGACATATTAAACTTGAAATCTGATTTCCAAGGTCATATAAAAATTTGATGAAAAGGTACAGTTGGAGGCAAACTGGGAAGAGGAAGCACAGGGCATTATGGGGATGAATACAGAAGAAAGATAAATGAAATGAGGTCTATGGGGCAGGAGACATGGCGATGGGTTTAGATGATACAAGCATGCCAGGAAGATTAGATCCAGAAGCCCCAAGTAGGTTGACCTCAGACTTCAGTTGATGTTAAGATATGTTCAAGGGACTTGTACTTTTTTGTGGTTGGGTGGATTCTAATAGTTTCTGTAAGAAATCAGAAGAATTCTGGATTGATTGATGTGGTGAGAAACTCATATTTAAACATGCTTGTATTTTTTTCTATTGCCCATTTCATGAATACTTTGGATTGTGTACACATGCTACAATACAAAAATATTTCACAAATAATGTTTGATTAGCTATTTTGAGGACATGAGTTTAATGTGTTATTTAGGATTTTGTTTTAGGTTCTCAGCACACACACACACAAAAGCTAGACCTTTAAGAGGTGAGTTCTTAGAGGTCTAGCTTTTGTCATGTGTGTGTGCTGAGCTTGGTGGGTAGAGAGGTCTTGGGGGTTACCAGTTTGATATTAAGTGTCTTTCAGACAGTTGGTCCATTTCATCTATATCATTAAGTTTGTGGTCATAAAATTGTTCATTTTATTATCCTTTTAATATTGGTGATAATTAATAGTGATCTTTCATCCATTTCTGAAAGTAGTAATTTGTGTCTTTTCTCTTTTTTTTTTAAAAAAATGATCTTTATGAAGAACCAGCTTGTGGTTTTATTGATTTTTTTTTTGTACTGTTCTTCTCTTTTCATTGGTGTCTGCTATAATTTATTTTTATTATTATTTTGCTTTAAAAACTGCTCTTCTGATTTCCTACAGTGGAAGAATAGATTGTTGATCTTTCTTCTTTTCTAACATATGCATTCAATGAACACTTTCCTCTAAGCACTGCTTTAGGCGCATCTCATAAGTTTTGATAAGTTGTACTCCTTAAGTTCAAAAACTCAAAAAAATTCTCTTAAGATTTCCTTGATGCATACATTACTTAGAAATATATTGTTTAATCTCTTATGAAAAATTGTGCTCTATATATGTAATAAGAATTATAATGCATTCTGCTATTTTATATATACATATATATAAATATATATATATTTTAATCTGTAAATATTTTGAGTTTCATAAGCTGTCTTTGAAAAATTGATTTCTGGTTAATTTCTTTGTAGTTTCAGAATATGCTTTGTATTATTTCTACTGTTATAAATTTGTTAAGGTATGTTTTAAGGCCCAAAATATAGTCTGTCTTTGTGAATGTTCCAAGAGAATATGAGAAGAGAGTATATTCTAATGGTGTATGGAGTATTCTATAATGTAAATTAGATGAAGTTGATTATTCGTGATCTTCAAGTCAACTATATCCTTATTGAAAATCCGTTTACTTGATGTGTCAATTAATGAGAAAAGGGTTTAGGAGTCCCCAGCTATAATAATGAATCCATGGATTTGGAATTCCTTGCAGTTCTATCAGTTTTACCCTCATATATTTTGATGTCCTGTTGTTAGGTTGCATATACACTGATACTTGTTATATATTCTTGGAAAACAGACCTTTCTAACATTATTGTCAGTCTTTAAAGTTATACTAATTTTTCCTTGTTCTAAACTCTGCATTGTATGACCTTGATATGGTATTCCAACTTTCTTTTCATTAATTTCTATTTTCCTATTGCTTTATAGACAA